TTCCAGTTGCAACGTCTGACTTTACCTTTTTGCCGAATTATTGAAAATTTTCTTCTAGTTAATACAAAAACTTTTGCAAGCAACGAAAATTTTGTCTAGTATTATTTCAAGCATTTCAGATAAGCCAGCTCCACCAGAAGGTCCTTTGAATGTAACGGACGTCCATGCAGATCACGCTACTTTGGACTGGAAGCCACCGGTTGATGATGGCGGATTACCAATTGATAATTATGTCATCGAAAGATTCGATACAACTGCTGGACATTGGGTGCCGTGTGCGAAGGTAGACGTTTAATACAAAATCGTCATCTTGTGCTTTGATTTTTGCATAGCAAGATTTCTTGCGCCGTCAATGCTAGCAGCACTGCTTTCTTCCGAAAGTGAATGGTGCTTCTGACAGCGCGCACGTGTGTCACTAAAATGGCAGTTGGTGGTATGCCGTTTCACACTCTAATCCTACCCTTATTGTTGTGTTCGATTCGATTTCAAGTTGCCGCAATCTGTGCTGAAAGGTTTAAGGTTGACGGCGGGCAAACTTCGGCTGTTGTTGACGGTCTGATTGAAGGACACGAGTACAAATTTCGTGTTTCTGCAGCTAATGCCGAGGGTGAATCTGAGCCACTGGAAACATTTGGAGCAATTGTTGCTAAGAACCCGTATGATACACCTGGTGAGAAATACATCAAGATTTATCACATTTTCTAGTGCTCGAATATTAGTATTATCAAACGGCTTTGTTAAAAAAATCAAACATTCCATTATTATGCTTTTAATCCATTTTATTTGTTCCAGGAAAAGCCGGAAAGCCCGAAGTTACGGATTGGGATAAGGATCACGTTGATTTGATATGGGCGCCTCCTGCAAACGACGGTGGTGCTCCTATTGAAGGATATGTTATTGAAATGAAAGAAAAGTTTGCTCCTTTCTGGAAAGAAGTGAAGGAAGTGCCGGCTGAACAACTTACAGCAACAATTGGTAATTTGAAGGAAGGATCAGAATACGAATTCAGGGTACGGGCTAAGAATAAAGCCGGTCCAGGAGATCCTTCCGATCCAAGCGAATCCGTAATTGCAAAGCCAAGACATTTGGCACCGAAGATTGACCGTAGTGCAATCGAAGAGATCAAAGTACGGGCAGGCACTGATTTCCAGTTGAATATTCCCGTTTCCGGCGAACCACCGCCAACTGTGACTTGGTCGTTTCAGTCTGAGCCGCTCGAGTCAACTGACAGAATTAAGATTGAGAATCCAGATTACCGGACAAAATTTGTCGTAAAACGAGCTCTTCGTTCCGATACTGGTACATATGTAATCAAAGCAGAAAATGAAAGTGGTGTGGACATGGCTGAAGTTAAAGTTCTTGTCTATGATCGTCCTGGAGAGCCGAAGGGTCCATTGAAGGTGAATGATGTTCATAAGAATGGATGCACACTAAACTGGGAAGAACCGGAAGATGATGGCGGTGCGGAGATCAGTCATTATGCCGTCGAGAAACAAGATGTAAAAACGGGACGTTGGACATTTGCTGGTGAAACGGCTGGTACTTCCATGCAAATTGATGACCTAAGTCCTGGACACGAGTACAAATTCCGTGTTAAGGCCGTCAACAAATATGGAGAATCGGATCCTTTGGAAAACACTAAACCCATTATAGCTAAAGATCCATTCGATACTGCTGACAAACCAGGTACTCCTGAAATTTTGGACTGGGACAAGGATCACGCCGATTTAGAGTGGACTCCACCATTGAACGATGGTGGCGCACCAATCGAGAAATACATTATTGAAAAGAAAACTGCCAGCGGCGATTGGGAATATGCAGAGGAAGTCCCGGCGGACCAAACGAAAGCTACGGTCGGGCACTTAAAAGAAGGCGCCACTTATCAGTTCCGCGTAAAAGCAATTAACAAAGCCGGTGCGTCTATGCCATCAGATCCAAGCCGCAGCTTAGTGGCCAAAGCTCGGAATCTACCCCCAAAAATTGATAGGTCGACGTTAAATGAAGTTCGCGTGAAAGCTGGTGGCAGCATTGAATTTAACGTTAAAGTCGAAGGCGAGCCACCTCCGAAATGTGCTTGGTTTAACGGAGATACACCGCTCACAACGTTTGAGCGAACGAAGGTTGACAATTCGATAGATTATCGGACAAAACTGGTCACATTGAGCGCAGTTCGTAGTGATTCTGGCACTTACAAGATTGTCGCGACGAACGAAAACGGCAGAGATGAAGCAGAAGTGAAAGTTGTGGTGCTTGACGTTCCAGGCAGTCCGAAAGGTCCTTTGGAAGCTAAAGACGTCACGAAGGATTCTTGTACAGTACAGT